CATATGATCCTGGTCAGCCATTTGCAAATCTCCCGTGTGGTCTATGCCTTGCGGGGTTAAATGCAGTCCGAGCTGATCATGTCCCAGGCCACATAACTATGAACTAAAAGAACGCACTTTGCAAAAGAAAGGATAAAAAACAAAAAACAAGGGCACATTGAAACCATTCAATTTCTCATTCTTCTTTTAACTCCCCCTACACTGTGCCTCTCACGTACAAGGCTCACCACGTTGATTAAGTTGAGCGTGAGCTGCCCCCATCCTCGTGTGCCATAACAGCCCACTTGTACGCTGTGAGAAAGAGGCAGAGTGAAGGGGGAGGGGATAAACAATGGGGAAGAGAGATGGAGGGAAAACAAACAGAGAATGATAAAGGGAAAGTAAGGGAAAGTACGGAGTGTGGAGTGAAGATGAAGGCAATAGAGGATAAGAAAAAGCTCAAGATTGAGTTTGTCCTTGACGACAGAGAGGACATACATTGTGAGGATGAGGTGGATGGACACATGGAAGACCTAGCTGAGCATTCTCAGTTACAACAATTGCCACGACAGCTGGCATTGAGCATGCCCACCATACACCCCCAACAAATGGCATGTCGATTGCGGGCCAAAATGAAGGAAGAACGGTCACCACAAAAGACCATGCATTCAGTATAGCTCCCTTGGCCACAAAATGGGCATATAGTGTCCGGATGCGGAGGGTGCCTGCAGTCAGGAACGGAGGGACAGTCCTCTGCACACATGGATGCAGAAACCATGTCATTGTAGCGATTGTGACAGAGACGATGGCGGCTACAGCCGAGTGAAACAGTGTTTATAGCCGTGCAAAGGACAAGGTCGCAGAGTGTTGTTGGTACATTGTCTTGCTGCAGCAGGGGGCCAGAGGAATGATCTTCCACGTAAAAGAGATTGCGGACGGTTTGTCATGGCAAGAAAACAGCATCATGGATGTATACTCAATAGCATCTGGACTACCAAGTCGCGGTGTTTGTTAGACCCTAACCCTTTTATGTTCACCTCATTCATACTGTTTTTTGAACTTTTTTCCCCTCCCCCCCCCCCCCCCTCCCTATCTTGTGATTTTTTTCCCCTTTTCTTTTTGGGAGAAGGGAGGAGTGGGCAGGGGGGCAGTGCATACTGAAAGCGACGAAAAGTTATACCAGGAAATCCACAGATGATATCTGTTGCAAGATGCAGCCCAGGAACAAGATTTCGCAGAGTATCGGCGACCTGACGGAACTCAGCGACTGTGTATTCCCTGTTCATTGCCTGCACAACATAAAACAGAAATAGGGCCATATGGTGGCATATTGTGAGGATTGAGCCCTCAAGAAGGGGCCTTGCCATGATGTACATGTTCTGGGCTAAGGCCCCAGCAAGCCTCGTGCCCGCCCTAAGTGAAGGCGGGCCAGCAAATCAACAAGAGCCCTCTGTGCAAACATTTCACGAAGTGGGGTCCATACAGTTGCGGCACGCCAGTTGGTTGGAGTGCACCGAGCATCGGAGCTCTGCAAATGCAGAAATCCCAGGGCCCCAGAGTTGGTTAGGCCCTGGGCACATAAACGTGAGGCCGACAATGCATGCTGGATATAGAGGCCGAAAATGCCAATTGGAAACCGGTCCACTATCTGAATCTGGCCGCAGGCCTTGAAGAAGGAGGCACAACTGCATCTCCTGGGCCCCAACCGCATTGGGCCTGGGTACAGGTACTGKRGCCCAGGCGCAKGCTCAAGGGAGGCCRCCCACACGCAACACTGGAACACAGGCAGGGAGGGCGAGTGRGCAGGGATCTWGGCCAATGGAGGCATTGCGGGCACGCTGCTGCATTGTAGCGCTGCACTTGCGCTGTGGCTGAGGGAGACAGGCTAGCGCTAAGCGGTAGGGCGCTGCCTGTGCGCAGGGCGCTGGCGGCCATAGCCGGGCTGCYTGAAGGGCGCAGAGGAGGTGAAGGGCGAAGGTGGTTCTTCGGAGGTGAAGGGCGCTGTGTGGGATAACAAGGGAGAGTGAGGGAGAAGAGAGGGACGTACCTGGTGGAGAGGAAGTCGGCATTGGTGTTGACATCATCACTCGCTGGTCGTCAAGTTGTCTGGTTGCTTTCATGCTGTAGTTGTAGTGATAGGCTGTAGAGTAGGTAGGGC